TTAAATAAAAACATCGACACTATAAAAAAAAGTCAATATAAAGTCATTCTTTAGTCATTTGAAATCTAGATTAGAAATCTAGATTTTATAATGTAAAAAATGACGTAAATTCGGTCAATTTAACGTTAAATTGATATTATTTTGACTTTTCTGTTCTTTGGGTCGATTCGACGTCTTTTCGACCAATTATTTCTTACTGGGTATATATGCATGATTAACTTTTAATTTTAGACAAATTTGGGGTTTTGGACATTGGTAACTTGGAAACAAGTATTTCTTGATGTCAAAACAATTTGATCGAAATGGCCTGATTTTTGATGTCAATTTCGATTCGATGAGTTTTCGATGACATCGACATCGAAACGACGTCGATTCGACATCAGCCTTCTCACTGGGTTACGGCTTACGAACTGACATACGACGTATTGTAGATAGCCCCTACGACTTACGTCTAGTCGTAAGTCATTATGCCATGTTTGTGCTTTGGCCCTTAGGGGGTACGACTAACGCAACTTTACCCGTTCTTTGTACAGTCGAACCTTTATAACTCGAATCTTAAGGAACTAGAAAATCTGTTCAAGTTATAGAGTTTTCGACTTATCGAAATTCGAGTAAAAGAGAGTTAACATCTTAGAACATATATTACTGGAAGAATTGCCTATACCGTCCGTGCATCGAGCTAAAGCCAACATCTGTGCGAGAAAGAAAGGTATAGATTCCCAATTGTAACATACGTTTTAGTCGGTGGATAGAAGCGAGCAATAATCTCTCGAAGGTTTATAATCGGATACCTTTTATTATTCACAGTGTTCTCGTCACGTTGAAACCGACATCAGAGTCCGAGCCGGTTTCGGCTGATGTCGGCAGCCGCCGTCAAGTTTCGTCGTCAGTGGCGGAGCGGGCGCTGGAGATAGTCCGCAAATGGATGGCGGAACAAGAGAGGCGTCGGAGCGGAGATTGGGCCGTTCCGGAAGTGGCGGCCGAGGAAGTGGTCGAACCGGAGAGCCCCAGGTTCGAGCCAGTAACCCCGCCGCTACCGATGGGAATGGAGGAATAAACTTTATATTTCAAAGTGTTTTTAATTATTTTATATATTGGTTTTATGAGCCTATTTTATGATTATTAATCACCAATGTCAAATATTTTATTTTAGTCATAAATTTAGAGGAGTTTAGTATCGATCCATTATACTTTCATTATATATATATACAGCATGTAAAGGATGAATGAATGAATGTGCGCGAATAAAATAAATAAAATAAAATGTAAAAACTCAATGAATATCGTTCCCAAGTGTTTGAAGAAGCCTTTACCTGAAATAGAAAATAAGAATAATATTTATGATGGGAAAAGTAATGACAATTCGGGCGGCCGATAAAAAATAAATATAATCCATGCGTTAGCATTTATTTTAATAATGGTTCAAGCATACATAGTTATTTTACAGTTACAAATTACAAAGAGAGGGTTCCGAAAGTAGGGCCAATCCATAAGTCACGTGATCATCTGTAATAGAAAAATGTGAGATTAATTTATAATTGTAAACCATGAATTTTCTTTTAATTATATACAAGAATCAGCATACATAGTCGTTTTGGAGTTTAATTAGCAAAGGTGTATCATCCGACTACCGGATGAATTGGCCGGTCACGTGATTATCTGTAACAAGGAAACAGAGCGTTATTTTAACGATGTGATCCATAAAATATTATTATTTTAATTAATTTAAAAGACATACCAAGCGGCGAAAGGCTCCGAGCCAAAGTTGTCATCATACCGATAATCAAAAAGTTAAAGAGTCAAGTTATTGCAAAAATGAGTTTGGTTTTAAAGATTTATCCACGCGAAACAATAAAAATAGCCAGGTAAAGCGATATAAAGTATGGACAAGACAGATAAAAGGAATTAATTATAATTTTAGTAGTTCGACATTGAGATGGTCGAACTTTGATAGCTTTGGGAACGTTATTTAGTGAGACGAGCCCAAACATTGGGTAAAGCGCCGGATTGGTTCGGCAAACCGGCCAATCCGAGAACCAAGAAGCGTGCGTTAAAAGTTATGTGCGCAATAAACGCGGAGAACGGGGAAAAGCGACCGACGGTATAAATATCGTTGCCCGGATGGGCTAACGGGGGTCTTTTTGTTCCGGTTCGGTTCGCGAGTAAAACTCCGTGTAAGGAAAAGTCCCGCAAAAGTATTGCGTAATAAAAGAAATCCGTTATTCAGCGAGCGTTAAAAAACAACCGACGAAAAAAGCATCTCGATCGGACGCCGCGAGTACGGAGATTTCGATCCCAAAACGGATCTAGCGCGAGTTTGTCGCGCATTTATAAGACGTGTTCTTGAAACCCTATACGCGATTTCGGTTATCTTTTA